CTCTTTATAATGGCTCAGGGGGCGTGGCAGGTGGGCGTTCGGCTTAGTGGTTTGCTGCATAATGGAGGTGAAAATTGTTGTCTCTGAGCCCGAATGGCGTGGCGTGTGGGCCCGGCATTTACCCACGTCGGCATTAATAATCATTATTAACTATTTGCAAGCGTTGCCGGGGAACGAACAGCAACGGATAATAGCTGGCATACATGGCATACTATACACCAAACACCACACTCTATACAAAAATGTGTGCTAACATGCGTATATTAAAATTCTCGAGCATGCAAATCTGTCCAGAGTCCGGGCGCTGTCCAGATAATTAGTGTGTTTTTAAAACAATAACATGCCGCCGGCGCCATAATATGATATTCTCTGGATAACTCAAGAATAACTATACAAATTCTGAGTTATAGCCTGGGGATATTTTCTGTACTTATTTAGAAGACAAAGGTTCAAGGAATTTCTCTTAGCATCTTCTATATAAATATTGTAATAAAAATAAATGTAAAATTAAACCAACTAGAAATATCATATGTTATATCCCTGTCATAGAGATCGTTTAAATATTTATTATCCTGCAATAATCCTGCTCACCTAGCCCCACCTAGGGCTCTTCTCCACCTGCGTGTCTTTCGCTGCAATTTGCGCTCCAGCTGCATTTTGTCAAACTAACACATCGGTTTCCGGAGCATAGGTTTGGGGTCACGGACCGGGATCCTTTGGGGCCCTGGGAACCCTAATGGTCGCATCGGGCACGCACTCGCACACGGGCCAAATTGTTTCCTGTTATTATGTAAATTTCCTCATGGAGGCATGCTGGCAAATAGTTTTCCTTTTCGAGGAGGACTGACTTGCATCCCCGGGATTGACCTTACCAGAGCAATTAAGCCGCTTAACCCATGGCAGCCGGGCAGCCGAGCAGCCATATTTCGCAGACCCCACCCTTCCAACGGGACATGGCCATAAAAATTGTTAAGCTCCATGCCTTCATCCCCATCCGCTTGACAACGAAAGCGGGGCGAAAATGAAAAATAAAATGGCCGAAAACATTTGGCCGTTACAGCTGCAGTTTGTCAGTCGTGGCTAAAGCTTCAATTTGTCCCGTCCTCGCCTCCTACTCATCCCCTCCACGCTCTTGGCCCTTCCCCATTTTCTTTTTTTTTTTTTTTGTCAGCTTTTAGCCGAATCGAGATTTTCATGCATTTTATGTAACGATCCGGGGCACCTCTCACCCGCAACTTGCGACCTGTGCATCTGCATCAATAATAGTTGTTTGGGTCTGGGGTTTGGTTTGGCGTTTGGCTATGAGGAAGCGACTCAAATTCTGAATTCCCAACGCTCGGCTTATTCATATTTTTTGCCCTCCCCTGCTCGCCCATTGATTTGCCAGTTAGTTTTAAGTATGCCAAGCGAAAGGCGAAACCAAGTCAAGCATCGTCGAATCCGAATCCCCGGGCCTTCGCATGAGGAGGGGGACATCCCCATCCGGATGTCTCGAGTGGCAGAGTGGTTTTGCGGAATGATTCGGATCCGAGGAATTCACGCCACAGAATGCACCATAATTGGTTCGGTAATATATACGGGAATTGATTTCCCAGTCGAAGAGGTTGCCTCGATGGCTTGCCTTAATTGAAGACCCGGCCAGGTGACAATTTGTCTCAGCCTTTGAGGATGAAATAAAATTAGTACAGGAAATTGATAAATGCTTGCAATGATTTATGGAATGGAAAGTTCACTAAGGATGCTTAATTGCCATACAAAATGAATAGCTTTGGTAATTAAAATGAATAATATGATTCTAGTTTCTAATATGAATATGAAAATTGATTTTCTTTGGCATGTAAAAAGAAATGGAAACCAAAAGCGGAAGTAGGCCTATGACTAATGAGTTCAGGTATGAGATGGGAGACAGGGACAGGGCACCCGCTAATTGAACGCAGTGGAGTAAAATCAATATAGTCTGGGAAGGCCACACCTTTCGGTTTTCGCTGACCTTCCCGCCCCCTTGCAATTTAAATCACATTTACCACTAACACAAATTACAGCCTATTGTGCACGATAACCCACAATTTTCCCAGCCCGCGTAAATGATAATTTCCCCAAACAAATTAAGACATTAACGCACAAGTTTTCAAAACAAAACGAAATGTAACTTATATTGTCACAAATTTGCAAGCACTCCGATTCCATTTCGGCATGTGGTTATTAAAAGTAAATCAAGTGCACGACCGATTTACATGGCCCCAGACTAATTAGCCACTTGTGTGCTGAACCAAAAGCCGGGCTCAACAAAAACCGAGTCGCCAGCCGCGCCGCCATTGGGGGTACAAAAACATTTTGCCGCTTTTCCGTTTGTTGTGCGTGTTCTTGGAGATTTTTATCAGGCCCCCGTGTGTGGGTGAAGGTCCCGGGAGTCTAATACAATGTCGTCGTCTACATCGAGTGCACTTGGGCCCGACTCGATAATGGCAGGTTAATAAACGTTTTTGTGCGACATTGAACGCATGGCGAGACGCTTTGTGAGTATGCGGCAGACGCTCAGGTGGGGACGCCCCTCCCCTCGAGTCCTTTGGTCCCTGTTCACTGCTCATGTAGTCCTTTTACAGCCCTTTTTGCATGGCTAATGTCCGACCCGAGCCGCCCACCGAGCCTCATACCCCAAGGATGACCTGAAGGACGTGGGATTTCTGAACTTGGGATGCAAGGGTTCTATGCATATCGCAGCGAATCACGGTTCAATGGAGCCAATTCAATGAAAATACAAAGTCAATGTCCTAAAGGAAGTGGCGGAGAGCAGAGAAAAGCCCTGATTTGTATGGTCTGTTCGGAAAAAGTTAAAAAGCCCCAAAGCGACCAACATGCAAATAATTGGCAGCATAACCCTTTTTCATTCCCATGGGACATATCAGTGAATAAACATTTAAAATCATTTAAAATCGATTATTCAATATTGGTAAAAATCTGTCAGCTTGATTGAATAATGTAATAGTTTAAATCAAAACATGCTAGAGCTTTAAGATAAATAGACATTCTATTGGCAGTTTAAGTCCAACGTTTATTGATTTTGGACTTAAACTTTAAGGTTTAGATTTAGATACCATTCAAAGTGTGTCTTATATTTGACAAAGAGTAATTTTACATAATTTTCATTAACAGATTATTATTGCATTTAAATATAGACATCACACTTTCAGCTAAAACATTCAAACAACCAAAAATTCCTAGAAAAACGCGAAAATAGAGAGAATATAGAAGCACAATGGCTTATTTTTCCAGACAAACTCCATGTAATACTCAATTTCATAAACTTTAAAGCTAGTGTTGTTTTGTCTCCATCCCAATGCGAATGAATAGAGAAAACTAAGCCCGACAGTCACCTGTCACAGAATCCGCAGATGCTGCTCAGCCTACGCAAAAAAAACAACAAAATAGAGGAATATATAAAAAAAGTGCCACACTAAATAAAGCCCAAAAAGGTATGCCACACGAAACAAATGCCAGGCACGTTGGAAACATTTATCAAGACCCCGAACATCCGCCTACAGACGCCGTGCGCTAACAAGACGAGGGAGTGCCGTGGAAAAGGATAACAGGCCGAAATCCAGGCAACTCTTTGGCCGGGAAAGCTCCGCCGAGTGACAAAGAGTCGAAAATTTCAGTCACGCGAAGGGATTAAATGTCGTTTGATGTATTCTCTGTCATTTAAGTTTCTGTTGATAGAGTGAGCGATAGATATATAGGAGAAAAATCAACTGTCAGACGTCGGAGAGCCCAACTCAGGCTCTTAGAAGGCCCACGACTTGGGGGCAAATGCATTTATGTGATACATCCTCCGCCCCATTGACATGTGTCCTGGAAAACAGCTCCGAAGCCGATTGAGTGCCGAGTGAGCAGAGGATGCAGATAAAATTTAAATCTGCGCCGCACGTCCAGGGGTTAAAGCCAGGTGAATGGTCGTCGTCGGTGGTGGTGGGGCGAAGGGGCCTTTGCGGGCAGGGAAGCCGCAGCGCCTTGTGTGATTTATTGAATAAATCAGTTTGGAGTCTCCTCCTAGCAGATGCTGAAATATTTATGTGAACGCTCGGCGTACGTACGCGGCGGTTTTGAAATTTATGTGCGCCGGTAAATAAAATGAGACCTCCAATGGCGGCGAAAGCCGCAAAAGACGAGGCAATAAAAATTTGAAGTGTGTGTAAGGCATGGCCAGATATAATCTTATATGTGCATATATACTATATATACGGCAGACGCTGACAGAATGAGTTATCGGCTCGCAGTATTGTGATTTAGATGTGGTCCCAGCCAGTACAATGCGAGAATTATGAGGTAAATTGCTTTTGATTCTCTGTGTTAAATTGAATATTATAATTAAGGTATAACAGAGTCAATATGCAATTTAAGCTGGTGTTTAAAAATGGTTTTGTATATTTAAAGAGCTTAAGTTTAGCCTTATAATTGTAAATTTTATATTTAAAATATGCAAAATACCACACCTTCATTATTATGTATTTTTCTACACTTTTATTTTAAAGTGCTCCTCTTACAATTTTAATAAACCTGCCCTTCTATGACATCCAATTCAATTATGGCTAATTAACATTTGGGCATTTATGATTATAGTTTATGGTAAATCGACTGAAAGTAATTCCATTAAATATTGTTTTTACATAATCATAAAACATCGCTTGATTTCACTTTATCATAATTACATTTTGATATTTTTATCAAATTCAAATGTTAGCCTTTGTGGAGAATATGCATTTATATTTTTAAATATTTTAAATATTAAAGTATAACTAAATTTATTGGTGAATATATTTTTAGAAATTTGAAATCTAATTTCTACACCTTTTACATTCTAGTGCACACCTAAAGGAAACGTTTGTTGGTAATTTTATGGATAACCGAATTAAGTTATTATTTCTTTTTGACATCCACATCAAAGACAATTAATATTTTGACTTTCAGTTTGTTTCTAGAATGTTCCTGTCAATTTCACTTACCAATTAACACAGCAAGAAGCGTCGTTTTGAAAGCTGAATGATGAACAATTTGTGGCACCCGCATGATGAAAGGTGTTAATTTTGATCTGAAAATATGAAAAGAATAGATGTTATTGTAGTGAGTGGATTAACCGAAACAATATTTATTAGAAAATATTAAAGAATAAGTATTTTTGAAAATAATATTCTACAAACAACATGAATCAAATTAGTTTTCAGAAAACTCTTAACAGTGTTTACATGATTCTTTTAAACAAACAATAAACAGTTTCTTATAGTCACGTTTAATTAAAATCCAAAAGCAAGCAAGTCATTTCTTAATATTTAAAATTATCCAAGATTATTACGATTACTAGGGAACTTTACGGGTTTCATAAGCCAAAAACTACCTCACTCTTTTGACTTGAGCCTAGGATAGGTAAAACACCCACTAGAAGACCTGAATCTACTGTAATAGCATCTTAAAATGGCGGTAGACAGCAACATTGGTCCTTAATGTATTAAACTTTGGCTGCACCACGTAACTCCTGTTGGCCAATGCAACCGACTGGGCCGGTTTCCCTGAGACAGGTGTTGCAAAGTGAGTTTCTTATAGTCACTACTTGGGCGGGCCAAAGTATTGAAAGCAATTTTGTAATCAGCCGGAAAGGAACAAGGGGAAACTGTATAAAGTAATAACTATAAAGAAAACTGCAGCGATTTATCCCCTCCCCCGCCACACACACACACACACTTTGGGCAAAAAGTTTTCCATTAAGGATGTGTTCCTTCCGTGCCTGGCCGAAAAACACATTGTTGCCTAACTGCACATCAAATGCTCCCTCCTCCCCCCTTCTCCGACTTGGGTCGGTGAGAACAACATTTTCCATAAATTCTTCGGCTTTTCGGGGCACTCGGAAAGTTGAAAATCGGATTATAATAATCCCCTGGTCAGCTTGAGTGGACTCGCTGAGAATGCGAAAGGATCCGAGGGTCTTTGAGGAGGAACTTTAACAAGTTGTAATCTTTTATGGCAGCAAATTGCATTACAGCATCGGGCATTGGGCATCGGGAGGATCCAGGCCAGAAAACATCTCGTATGGGAATATTCACATGACCAAGAAGCAGAGATGTCTTCTCGGGAATACCCCATTAACCCGGGGCAGGGCCCTGGCTGGGCTTAATTGCTTCGACTTCATTAAGGTCAGCAGCTTAAAAGCACCCAAAAACAAAGGGGGGAATTAGGTGAAAACTTTTAACTTTTTAATTTATGCATTGACAAACTTAAACGACCGAGTGCGACTATGGGAGCAGGACAAACAAAAGGGCCAAGTCTGTTCCCAATGCGATAAGCCGCAAAGACTGCACTCCCAGACGCTCTCGTCCCCTTCGACTGACCAAAGGGAATCTCAAAATGGGGCAGACAAAAACGTCCAGAGGGCAAAAAGTATATATACATTTATATAGTCCTTTCGTATCCGGTTACCCTTGTTCTTTTCGTTAATTGCATCCGTGGGCAGGACACGGGTTCTTAAAGTTTGTGGTCGAAATAATCCAAGTCTTTTCGCAGACCTGTAAACAAGATGTTCTGGCTCTTATTTAGCCTTAAAATGAATTGAAGAAAGTAAGGTTTTATAAGCGAAAAGGCTTGATTTACACCGATCTTATAATATATTCTTAGTGTATTTAAATAAAGTATATTTTTGCTTCAAAAGGTTCCTAATTAAGTTTCAAGGACTCTTTTCTATTTTAAAATATTAAAAGTCCTTGTAAATTGAACATAAAACTTCAGGGATTATGGCTTTAAATTGGCTTTTTCCCCAATTAGATGCTTGCCCAAAGATATTCAAAAAATCCATGCGAAAACAATTCGTTTTTAATCTGTAAAAGCAAGTTCATAAATCCCTCAACAGTCATCCAATCAAAATACTTATTGCTCCACCATCCAAGGCAATTTGGAAAACCATCAGTGCAATAAATATGTCCAGTCATCCCATGGCAGAGGCCATGACATCTGCTGCCGTTGATACTGTAGCATTTCACAGATTGCTCGATTACAAAATAACCAGGAAACAACAAACAATGCAAAACGAAGGAGCACACAAATTTAACCAACCAGGATAGATGGCTCGGCATTGAGAGCTAAATCAAAATGGGTTTGCTGGCAGGAGGAGAGACCTAGTATTAAACCGCTTTTGGCCTTCAAAGCCAGCACACACACACGGATAAATACTAAGTTGGCTGTGGAGTTGTGCAGAGCATGTGAAAATTGGTAAACAATTTATGTGGTCAAATAAAATTGCAGCAGCAAAGTCAGAAACAAATTTATGACTGCTCAACCCAATTCCAGCAAATTCGCCATAAACTTTGGCAGTCAAAAACAGGATATTTCAAAATGTAAATGCCGTAGAAAAAAATAACGGAGACTCTTTTAAGACGACTCTAAAACATAGTAAAAAAACTTGCTTATAAATTCTTACCAAGTAATTAATTGGAAATAATAAGAAGCTAAAACTTATTTTTGAAATAAAGGTTTCATCGGAATTAATAGAGTCAGAATAGGAACTTTTCGGTGTTAACCTGAGCAAAGTTGGCTCACAACCACCTTCCCAATAATTCTGTTGTCCGCGCCACTGGGCATATGCAATAACTGCATGCAGATACCGAAACCTAAGAGGGGCAGCGAAGTGGAACCAGTTATGGAGGCACCATTCCAGGATATAAATTACATGCTTAGCTACTCATAGTAACCGGACCCAAGCCAAAGTTCTGCTCCTTTTTTCAGAGATTATGAAATAAATTTCCACATGCCACAACATTTTCGCAGCCGCAACCAAACAACCAACAACAAGAACTGTGCCCAGCTACCAGATACTCGGGCTCCGGCAAATGTTGCACTTGAGATGCGCCCGCAGCGCCAAAAAGTAGGCAACGAAGCCCTAAATTACACACACTGCCACGTCCAAGGGAACCTCTCCGGACTCAGGACTGCGGACTACGGACTCTGGATTCCGGTTTCCAGAATGCGGAGAGCCAGTGGCCATGCCAATGGCAACAACAATGGATTTGCATATGAAATATATTTCAATCGCCCAGGGGTCCTTCCACCGCCATGTTTTCCTATTTGTTGGGGCGAACTTTGAGTCGGTATAAGATTTGTGATGCCAGCTCAAATATAAAAAAAAAGGTAGAAAGTTGCGCACTTCGACGGTGCAAAATTTGCAAAGTTTCCTTCGCTTGCAATCCATATATTACCCAAGATAAGAATTAGACTTGGGATTTGTGTAAAACTTTGCCTGAGACCGCACTCAAAAATTGATGACATCGAAACCAGAAACTTGGCCCACTTCAAAGCATAAAGCAGCATCTCATTAAACATTATGTGCCGGAAAGAAACACTCTTTCCGATTCAAACATGAGCACTTAATTGCATATTATATTGTTGCTTACATTCTGCATTTAATTATGCCTCAGTTATGCCTTCAATAATTTATGATGGGTAAAAGGTAAACACAAATTCAATTAATATTGAAAGCCAGAGATATTCATGAGGTTAGCAGACCCACAATTATATGTGGAATCAACTTGTAGAAAAGTTATAATTGCATTAACTTGACCCAGAAATCATGCCTTTGGCTGTCCATATGAATTAGTAAGCATTATTTTCAAATAGAGTGCCTAAAATCTAATTAACACTCTCGCCGGGCTCACAGGTTCATTTTTTTGTTCAACTTTTCACGAATTTTACTGCGTACTTCCTCTTGCATAAACCACAGAATTCTCAGGCAAACAAAAAATGAGGAAATAAAAGACCAGGCCTTAAGAGAAATGCCAGCCTGGCTCCGAGAAGAATGCGACATCGTTGCAGGTGGCAGTAAAAAATTGCTGAAATTTCTCCAGCCAAGGAGCCAGATGGAGAACAGGAGCCGCGGGTCATCCGCAGCTCAGATCAGCGCACGGCTCATTAAACGCGGGTCACAGTTTACCTCTTCTGACCGATAATACACTCTTCAAAAATATATAAACTAGCCATTGATATGATCACATTTATCCTAAAACATTACTAAAACAAAAAATATTTTAGTTAGGAAATCGGGAAATATAAACAGATTTTAATTTCATTTCTGTTTTTTGTTATTGAAATGTTTATGCAATACAAAGGAAGTGCTGTCGATTCATATGTATTTTTAATTTTATAAAATTAATTGTTTTAACTAATAATAAAGTAGGTTTTTCTTTTCATGGCCACCGCAAGAAAATGTAGTCCTGAGCGCCAAATTGTTTGATTTTAAATCAGAAAATATCTTTTATAATAAAGTCACTTCCCACAAAAAAGATAGTTAACGAAAGCTTTGTGATAATACCGTCACAAATAATATAATTTAATTTATTTAAATTTTATTTGCGCTATTTTTCACAGTGCTGTCCTGTAGCGCTTTCTCCTGTTGTTATTTTTAAGCCCGTCGCAGGATAATCCGAAAAGGCTGGCGACGACTTAATGCGCCCCTTGGCTGTGCTAAATAGCTTCCATTATTTACTTTATTTTCACATAAAGCGTGCGAAAAAGTTTTTCACCATTCGGGCACCGAGAAAAACGGAGCAAAATGGCAAAGATAGAGAGTGAAATAAATTCTGGTTCTCTCGACTGGTTAAAGGATTTCTCGTTTTGTTTTGAAACTTTTTCGACTCAGCTGTTTGCGGACACTTGCCAGGGGACCCCCAACTCCTCAGGCGGCAATAAATCATTTCACATATCAATCAGTCAATCAAATAAATGTTTGACTACCGCCCAGCGCCCTCCCAGCGCAGTCGATATTGATTGTCCCACTAAATACAATTTTTGCCTAGTCAGTGAGTCGCCCAAAAAGGAGGAAGATAAAAACGGGAGCGGCCAGAAGAAAACTCAGCCTGGCAGTTGACATTTTCCATCAACAAAAAATACAACAAAAAAAAAAAAAAAACAGAGAAGGGAGGAGGAAATCGAAGGAGCGGGCCCGGCTCAAGACATTGTTGCATAGTTCGGAGCAACTATGGCAAATGTCCTCATGAAGGAGGAGCCCGGGGCTCAAGCGACACGCTTCCTTGCAATTGACAAGTTTTGTTTACTTTTTGGATAATTCCGGGGCCCGCCCTCCTGTCTATCTTCCGGTTTATCATCCTTCTCCGGGGATGGGAAAGGTTATCCCTGAAATTGGCTTGCCAAGCTCATACTTCCGCGTTCGTCAAAAATTACATGTTGAGGATGGGGATACGTGCAATTATGAAAAGTGCGAGGGCGAATTTTGTTATGCTTGGGGATAGACTCAAGCTTGATTCTCAGGAGCAGTGTTATGGCATAAGCTATAGAAAATTGCCATGATAAATTTAAAAAACAAGAAATGGAGGATCTGTTGACCATAATATAAAATATTCCTTGTGTCTGCTATTGGATGTTGTAGAAAAAATTAAGGCCTGCTTGTACTTTATAACTTTGGCCATTAGCCAGTGTTTACTTCTTATCCTTAACGCCTACCTTTAGTTTATTGCTCACAGTTTAGTTTTTGTTCAAGTTCTGTAATATTTTCAAACTGTTTTTCAAGTCATAATTTTGCACATCCAACTTTTTTCTTGTTTTTCTCTCGGTCTGCACAATTTGGCAATCAATTTGATTTTTTATGCAATGTTTGTTTGATTTATCTGCGAATCCTTTAAGGCCAGGCAGCCACGGGTATCCTGTGTGTCCTGGCGAACGCGGGATTTCGCTTTCGCTTATGCTCTTTTTCTTTCGTCTAAGCCGCTTGCTGCTTGGCTTTGCTCCTTTCTACGCTGCTTGGCTCCTTTCCCGTTCCTTATCTCATTTCGCGTATCACGGAACTCGTTAAAATCACCTTAGAACACGTGACTGCACAAACACACACACACACACGCCCAGGGGAAAGCAACAGCCTCACACACACACGCACGCCGTAGCGGACCGTTATGTTGATCCTTTTGCCGGAGATCCCTTCTCCTATTTTCTGTTTTTCTGCTGTAAAATGCAATGTCAAAAACACAACAACTGCATCGCAAAATGGAATCGGGCACACACGCACACCATCAAGCGTTCAATTTTGCGGTTTCCGTTCAACTTTCAGTTCGGTTTCGTCCTTTTTATTTAGTATTTGTTTTTTTTTTTATTATTCCCGCTGGCCAAAAACTCGAAAGGCAAAAGCACAGGCGCTGATCTACGCACGTCCTTACGCAAAGGCAACGCAATGTAAACTGCAGCCCAAGGAACAGGACTCGCGTGGCTTCGAGTTCCGTGCACAGATTTCCCAATTGGCGAACGAAGCGGCGAAGGACGGGCCGAAGGACCTTCGGTTAAACCGAGGCACCACGAAGCGGAAAATCACGAATGGAAAAGCGAGGGGAGAGAGCTAAAGAGCAAGAGAGAGAAAGAGAGAGAGAGAGAGGAAAGTGTGTCAGTTGCATATCCTTGGTGATGTGTGGTGAATAGTGGTCTCTGGGGGGAACTGCTTTACTGCTTTATTCCCCTGCTCAACACTGTGGTGAATTTGTCAATTAAAAGTAAAATAATAAAAAAGTCACTCAGTTTTATAAATATCAGTATGAAACATTAGTCATCGGCATTAGTCATCTAGCATAACGTAAAATTTAAAGCTTTGGGAATTTGAAATATATACTCTTTCATATATACAGGTTTCGTCAAAGTCGAATCATAATTTATTATATTATTCATAAAACAAGCGGATCAAAAATAGCTTCTTATCGAAGTTGCAAATACAGTGTTTCCATACAGTTTATTAAAGTGATTCTAGAAAGCTACATGGGGACAAGATGTTCTGAACTCAGAATGAAATCAGAATGAATGAACTTTTAATATATGCATAGACAATCACTAAACAACTTTATACATAACTCTTCAGCTCTGTAAAGGAGGCTTTTTTAGCAAGGTAGTCTTTTTTCTTTTAAGTATTTTCACAATTTATATTGTACCTTTTAAGTCCTCGGCCGCACCAGCTACGTATTCGTTCTACGTTCTACTGAAATTTACGTTTACTTAGAATTGCTATTTCACTGCGATAAGCTTTCTCTATCTCGCGGCCTGCGTTGCCCTAGAGAGCCACATTTCAAACTTTAGTACTGTTTCCGTGGCAGCGCGATCGCCGTCATTCGCATTCCTCCTGATCCAGCCCCTAGGGGCTTATATTTCTCAGCGATAGCAGCCAGTGTTGCCAGGCTTCGGTACAAGTTACATTGAGAGTAAAACTTAGCTAAAAAATCATTTCAATTTGAATCTGCACTTTAAAGGTAAATTTAATTAAACAAATGTTGTGCGGTTTCAAAAATTGCATTTAAAGTTGGTATTTTAATCCTAATTCTAATCCTTAATCAGTCAACAGGACGAGACGCCGCATAGTAGCGACTATAAATCAAAAATTCGTGTTCTATAGAAAAAAAATCATTTTTTTAGTTTGATACCCTATAAATAAATTTAATTAAGTACCAACTTATAAAAAACAAGTAAATTTAACTTTTTAATAAAACAAAATAATTCATAATTTAAATATAATAATAGCTTTTTTAAATGTTAAAAGAATTCTAAAAAGAATTTTTGAAAAATAAGTAAGAAAAAAAATAAAATAAATATATTATAATTATAGTAATATAGCATCTTTAAAATATTTGTGTGACGCGCCCATTATTTTTAACGAGCTGGCAACATTGCCCCTGAAAGCTTTCAATTATCAAGCATTTGCGAATTATTTTAACAGATTCAATTCCATTTCGACTACGCCGGCAAAAGGTCTTGTTTTCTTCTGAGTCTCCAAGCGAATTAAACATATTAGAAACTAGTGAAAATGCTGTCCAAAGTGTTTTGCATGGGACTGAACACCTATGGTTTGGTTATTGGCTGGCTGGGAGTGGTTTGCTCCATCCTGGAGGTGATCCCTTTATTCGTAGTCGTGGGACTCCTTGTTGGAGATGACAAAAGTGTAGATGATGAAAAGCGCTCCAGTAAGTACTTGAGCATATGTAGATGTAGCTGTGGCAGAATATTATGCTCAGCATTTGTGGCTTTTCAGATCTCGTTATCGTCCTAAGTATTGGCCTGCCAGTGGTGGTGATCAATCTTTTGATATCGGGCATGCTGATTATGGGAACCGTTAAGGTAAGGCATTTTTATTTTATTTACATAATTACAAACATAATTTGTATAAATATACATATACGATAGAGTTTTCCGCTAGTAAAATTTTCCATTTTTCTAGAAACGCCATCTGCTCCTGCTTCCCTGGCTGATCTGGAGTGGAGTATGTCTAGCCTTGATCAGTCTCGCTGATTTTTGCTACTGGGTGCTACTCCTTAGTTCTCCCTCCTTGGCTGCCCTTCCCATCCTCCTGTTCTCTGTGGCTTTTTTCGGTAAGCAAACTTATCTGAAAACGGGATGTACACAGTGGTTGTGCATTTTTTTAGCTCATCTGGGGTTATCGCACAACCGCTTGCTGCTGCAGCTGTCAATCAATAACACTTGAGCACGATGCTGATAGCATTTCTTATTGTTTCTTTTACTATTTCCCAGTACTTCAATGGTATTTATACAATGGAATCTACTCGCTATATCGGGAAATCCAAGCCAAGAGACCAGAGTCCGTTGTTTTCGCCCGCCACACAGAAGCGCCTCCCGAATAAAAGTCGTTGCAAAAATAGGTGAAATCATAATCGCATAATCATAATCGTTTTTAAGCATACATTTTCCAAAGAGTCCACATTTGTAATAAAACAACTTTTTAGATTTTGTTTGTGGAAGATATGAGCACTTGAATTTAATTAATTATTTAATTATAAAAGATTTTTAAAGTTTTAAAATAAGTAAGTAAAAAATAAAATAAATATATTATAATTATAGTATTGTAGCATCTCTAAAATTTGTGTGAAGCGTCCAATGTTTTTAACGATCTAGCAACAGATAACAGCTGTCAATTGTCTAGCATTTGCGACCTACCATACATATTTTATTCGATCCAATTCCATTTCGACTACGCCGGCAAGAGGTCTTGTTCTCTTCTGAATCTCCAAGCGAATTCAACGTATTAGAAACTAGTGAAAATGCTGTCAAGCGTGTGCTGCATGCGACTGAACACCTACGGTATGGTTATTGGCTGGCTGGGAGTGATTTTCTCCATCCTGGCGGTGACCCTACTTTCCTTAGGTCTGGCACAAGCTAACAGGGCTCATATTAGCAACCTGAGTGTTTACCTGGCAGTGGCGGTGATCCATCTTTTGTCATCGGCCATGCTGGTTTTGGGAACCGTTAAGGTAAGGCATCTTTTTTTAATTTAAATAACTACAAACATAATTTTTATATATATATCTATAAAGTATAAACAAAAGAGTTTTCCGCTAATTAAGTTTCCCATTTTCCTAGAAACGTCATCTGCTCCTGCTTCCCTGGCTGACCTCTAGTGGAGTATTGCTAGCCTTAAACAGCATCGCTCAATTTTTCCACTGGGTGTATCTCGATACTTCTCCCTCCTTGCTTGCCCTGCCCGCGCTCCTGTTCTCTGTGGCTGGTTTCGGTAAGCAAACTTATCTAAAAACGGGATGTACACAGTAGTTGTGAAATTGTTCTAGCTCATCTGGGGTTATCGCACAACAGCTGGCGTCTGCAGCTCTTATTTAATTACACTTGAGCACGATGCTGATAGCATTATTTAATGATTTTTTTGCCGATTTCCCAGTACTTCAATGGTATTTATACAACGGAATCTACTCGCTGTATAAGCAAATCCAAGCCAAGAGATATTCAGCGTCCGCTGATTTCGCCCGCCAAACAGAAGCGCCTCTCGAACAAACATTTCAGCAACCTGTCATCGATGAAATGTTGATTAAATGATTATGAATTGTTGTTGATGGCAGCCTAGGACACATGCCCGTGTTAAATTCATCAAAAGTTTGTATGAATTCATTGATTAATCATCAACAACACCCCTTCGGCTGTTGATGAAACGGTGATGATATTTTGATGCATGGTACTGCAGGGTTATTACAATTTGTTTATCAATAATAGATATAAGCTTAAGAATTGTTACAGCCAACTCTTTCCAATAAAAAAAAAAAAAAAAACATAATTTCTCAGTACAACAAAATTTAATATTAAAATTGCCATAAATTTATTGTAAAATATCGGTCTAATTCTCCACGATCGCAGTGCACTGCTTTGTCACCTGCTTCCAAAAACCCACCACTTTCCCATGCAAACCTAAACTGCTAGTCAATAGTTATTATTATTTTCTCACAGTTTATTTGTTTGACTTAACGGCTTTATCTTTTAAAAATTTTAAAAATTTTATTTGAAATAAAATTGTTCAATAATAGTATGATAGAAGTAGACTTTTCTCAAATATTTAAACTCACCACGTTCCCCTACTTAGGGGACTGCTTGCAAAATGTTTAGAAGAGGGGAAAAATAAAGCAGTTCAATGGCATCTTACAAAATTCTAAAAATATTTAATGAAATAAAGGAACATTTAATAAATAAGCATTTCCAACACCATTAACAATTAAAATGGTTTTTTTTTAACAAATAATATTTGTTCGAAATTAAATTATTTAAATTACATTTAAATAAATAAAATTTTAAACTTCTATAAACAATTTGATCTATACATCTAATAATTTCTGTTTTAGAGTTCAAATTGTAGCCTAATAAATACCCAAAAATGTAACTAGTTAAAACATGTAATTATTTGAAAAGCAAATAAAAATTCCTACTAAAAATGTGAACTAAGAAAAACTTTAGATATTTTTGTAACAAACCCATTAAAACCTACTTATCATTCTCTGAAAAAGGGACAAACTTTGACGTATGGCAAACTGTAGTGCTAGGAGGCGACTCTTGGTCTGGTCAGCGACTCCAATTGCGAGAGCCAGCATAATTGTAAATCAAATCGCTTGCCAAAGTGTCCCATCCGAAACCTACTCGAAGGCGTACTTAAGTGGAACATAGTCCCATGTAAATGACCGCCAGTCTCAGGACCGAAATGGGTGGAAAAATTAGTTGCCATTGGCAGAAACACTTTGCGCCCAAAATGTCATAATCATAAAAATTTGCAATTATGCTGATGACCGCAACACAGCAACACAGCAACACAACAACAACAACTGACAACTGGAGCAAGGCATTTCCAGTTCATTAGCCAGACCACGCCCCTGCCACGCCTTCGGCTACTTGGCACCGCCCCACTTTTGGTCCGTGTGAGGACACCACACACATTTGATTTTGTTGCCCCGGGAGGTTTTTACTTGGCACGACTTCCAGACTGGGAGTAATGCAATACAAATTATGCAGACAACTGGAGACAATAAAGTCATTAGCCTCCATTCTTAGCCATCAGGCCCAGTGGCAATGGGACTAAAGGGAACTACAAGTACGATGTGGCACCTTAGGGTTTGGTTTAATTGGTAAACATAAGTCAGAAATCTGTTCTTAATCAGCAGACAATAGAACAAAACCAACAAAGTAACAAGAAACTAATTTATAATTAATACATTTTTTATTACACATTTTCAATTCAACCAATCTGCTTTTCTACATTGCATATCCATTATTTTGGAGGTAGTTTTAGGGAGTTGGATGTGTATATATATTAAAACCAGAGAGATTCTATCATGATCCGAAATATGTCATATAAATATTAAATGAAATAAACAAAATAATTAGACATAGAACCCTTAAACTCATCTTTCTTAGTTTTTCATAGACATCAATTTATTCATATCAAATGTTTTGTACGTGACTGTTTTGCTTATCACTTAATACATGCTGTGGTTTTTTTATATATGTTTTTTTTTTGTTGCTTTTTTCAATTGTTTTACATAAATTCATTTCTTACAATACATTCTCGCGTTTAGTTAGATTTCATAAATAATTCACAATATTTTTGATGTAGACGCTTTTCTGTTTTGGTTTTCTATAAATACTTTCACAATAAATTATTGGCTTAAAAAGAAGGAAACTACTAGGACCTAGGCATTGGAATCCAGAGGGCACCCTTCCCTGCGCAGCACTGCTACTTGGAATTTGAGTACAAATGCGAGTATAAGTCAAGGTCAAGGCCTAGCTGCTACGCGCACCTGCGGGAAGTTCTGTGTGTACCCCAGGATCCGGTGGTCTCTATTATTTTTCCGGATTTTTCCGTTTTCCGATTCACCTGCACTACGATTGGTGGGGTGGGCATGCAATAACTACCTAGCTATGGAAGTGAATAAATAGACGCTCGGTGGCAGATCACCACTGGTTGGAGGGACGGCGCTCAGCGCCGGGAGCCGCACTGCCCGAAAAACGCGGCGACGAGGAGTTCTGCGAGGAGCTGCTGCTGGGCATGCTGCTGCAGGCTGCCTCGTTTGCCAGCAGCGTGTGAATGGCCGCCAGCAGCTTCTTGCGAGCTCCAAACGCAGTGATGCCCAGCTCCATCATGTTCTCCTCGGTCAGCGTGGTGAACACCTCCAAATCAATTTCGTTATGCACAAATAATTCTGAAAAAATAAACAAGTGCGTTAGTGCCAGTGCCATTATTCAGTAACAGAGCTGCTCACACAGTGATCCCAAAAGGCTTTCAACTCTTCGGGATACAGTGCGAGGAGCTCGATTAAAAGAAGCGGAAATTTGCCAGGATAGTAAGAGGATATAATAATAAGCTCCCCAAATTGCTCCATGTTAGTAAGAAAAAAAATGGTTTTAACAACAGGATAACTATGTCTTTATCAAACATCGGAAATACATTGTGAATATAGACACAATTGGACCGATTTACTCACTGATATAATGCTCCAGACCCAAGCTGGTTAGCAGCGTCTGAATGTCCTTATGCTGGGCCAGCTGCATACGCCGATTTACGGGCGTGGCATCCAGCAGTCCGGTGGTGGCACTGAGTCCGTACGGAGACCCTAGGCCCGGTGGCAGTCGCCAGCCTGCACCGCCTCCTCCTATTGCTCCTGCTCCCGCGTTACCATTGTCATCCGCCGTGTCGACGGGTGCCGGCGAGGTGCAGCTTAGGCCCATGCCCATCCAGGCGGGCGTGGGCGTGCGCAGTTCCCCCGCCACCGGTGTCCGTTCCATGGCCTTGTAGCCCAGGGCCCTCTTCATGTCAAAGTCGAAGGCGCGGTGGACTGCGTGCTTGTGGCCGGCACCTCCGCTGCCAGCCAGGTCGTAGTGCAGGCTGCGGTAGCTCTCGGCACTTCCTGGCAGCAGGTGGGCTCCTCCTCCGACTCCATTGGAGTTGTTGAGGCCCAGGAGGACGCCGTCGCTGAGGCGTCGCCCCAGCCGGGCTGCTCCTCCACCGCCGCCGCCGCCTGGCACGCTGCCCGCCTCGCTGCCGTAAGTGGAGTCCGGGGAGTAGTGCGCCCGACTATTGCCACATCCAGCTCCCAGTCCACCCGCAGCCGCCGCCGCCGAGGAAGATGAACTGGAGGACACTGCGCCCGGAACCTGGCCGTACGGCGGATACGACTGCTCCAGCGAGGTGGTGCTACTGCTGAAGCTCTGGTAGCCACTCGTATTTTGGCTGCAGCTGTTCCGCGGCGAGACATTTATGCCCGCGGACGGCGGGGGCGGCTGTTTGAGCGGCGCCACTCCGGCCACACCTGGTGGCACCTGCAGGTAGTTGTTGTTGTGGTTGACCACCAGCGGACGACCCTGCGCCTGCTGCTGCTGATGCTGCTGCTGCTGGCTCTGCTGCTGGAAGCTGTTGTGCAGCTGCATGTACTTCTGGGTGGGCGCACATATGCCAGTGGGCGTGGCCAGGCCATTGGCGTTGAGCAGCAAGTGGTTGTTGTTGGCGTAGGGCGTAAGCTGGCCGGAGAGGACGGGGGGCAGCAGAGATGGGGTCTTGGGACTGTCCACGTAGCCGGCCAATAGGGCGGTCAGCTGAGTGCGATAGGCCAGGTTAAGGTCCTTGTCCTTGGGCATAAAGTAGAAGTCGGGGACTTCAGGCTTTACGAAGGGCGTGGCCAGGCGCAAGATCTCCTGGCGGGCCTCGTAAATTTTGTCTAATGAAATCAGAGTTGGCAACCAGGGAACAATAAAGCACTAGCATATTACTCACCTATAAACTTCTCCACGCCCTTGACCACAATGGCCAGTGTACTCTGGCGTTGCTTCTGGCGCAACGTTATGTACACGCCATACTTGGTGTTGAGGCTCATTATTTCGGAGGCATCGTTCTGGTTGTCCGGAAAGTCAAAAATCAACGCTACGGGCAAATTGCCTAGCAATTGTTGTCGCGCCAAGTAGACGTCGTCGATGCGCCCGCTGATCGTGACCTGCGACTTCTTCAGCGGCTTCACATTCATGTCGCTCAGATCGGGGAAGATGATCTTGGTCTGGGTACGCTCCATGATGCTCAGCAGATTCACATTATTCTTGCCCTTGACGATCTCGTGGTGCTGCGGCGAGATCTCCATTTGGACATTGACAAGGATTTGGCTCTAGAAGAACGTAAGAAAATGAGAGTTTTGATTTCTTAGAGGAATATCCTTTGGCTTTCCCCAGAGACAACTCACTGCAATGCTCTCGCAGGCAAAGTTGATCAGCAGCTGAGTGGCATCTCGGACCTGGGCAGATTCCTTTTCCGATCCCTTGACCAAAACCAGCGAGGTGTGCAGCTTGGGACGTGTGGAAAATATGACCTGCACATTGAACTTGCTCTCGATCATCTTGATGTAGGGCGTCTCATGGTCCGGCTGCGGCTTGCTGGGCCCCATCACGGGCATCTCGAAGGAGATGAGAAGTGGCGTGGAGAGCCGCACGAGGGCCCGGGCACGCTCCACGCCCTCCAGGCTGCCGCACAGCGACACCTGGTTTGACTTCTCGGTGGGATTGGAGCGGTTCGAGTCCGGGAAGTGTATGTGGGTATGGGTCTCGTCCATGATGCGTTTGATGTTGTTGCCGCCGCGTCCGATGATGTACGAGTGGTCCGTGTAGCTGACATCCATTTTCATGATCACACGGGTGCCCTGTGCACGGAATATTTCAATTATAGAAGAAGCATTTTACTCAAGTCCCTCACTCAACCCACCCTCGAGTCAAGGCTGCTCAGGATGCGCTCCTTGGCACGCTGCACCTGGTCCACCTTGCCCACAATTCTCACATGGGGATCTTTAAAGAATATGTAGAATATACATATAAATAGAGGTAAATAGTAAATGGCGGTAAAAACGCCTCACCCTTCTTGCTCTTGGCTCCGATTTTGAGTCTGCAAGGCCAGCTCACATAGGTATCCGTCGTGTTCATCATCTAAAAACAAATCGTATTGGATATAAGACGCTCAATATACCAAAGTCAGCAAAGGTCTTAGTCAATCTCAACGGCTACTAAAACTGAAATTTATAGTGGTACAGTCGGAGGTCCAAACAAAAGACATTAATCAAATAACTTAAAAATTTTGTTCAAAGAGTAAGATCCTATTGAAACGGAAACATATTATGATATACTATAAATGATATTAAATTAAAAGGCATGGCATTCTAAATTTAAATATATCTCAGCTATGGTCTTCCGACAGTTGTTTATTTGTTTAATTTAAGTATTAAGTAAAGGTTAAGCCTTGTGTGAAATGTAATAACTTTATACTAATTTTAGATAGGTTTTTGCATATTTTCACTCACGTCATGAAAGAAATATTCGGCTCCATTCATGCCCTCGATGACGCTGTCAGCTATAAACATATATTATTGCATATATAGACAAACATAAAAATTACACATAAAATATGGAAATTCTCAGAACTTACCCTTTATCAACTGCTCCAGTTTCTGGCGATCAACCTTGAACCGTTCGGTGTGCAGATCGTCTGGATTTTGCACGCCCAACTTCATGGCGATGGCGCGTATGTCACTCCAATCGCTGTCCACCGAAGAGATCTCGCTCTGGGTCTCGCTGGGAGCTCCGCTGCCCACCGATGTGGTCGAGGGCAGGGCCTGCAGGCTGGCCAGGGATCCGATCCCGTCCATGCCCACGCCCCCCATTGGCGACTTGGCGACATCTGCCGCTGTCGGATACATCAGTTTGTTGAACGAGGCGCAGGACAGCATCGTGGAGAGGGTCAGTGGTTCAAGTGGAGGTCGAGATGTGGGTAAAGATCAGTGGGTCAGTGGGAGTAGAGGTTGTTTTAAAAAAAACCAAGCAAAATGTCCAATTATGTTCCTCGACAAAAGCAATGTCGATGCGTTTCTGGTCAGCGATGTGAGATGTGTGAGGTGAAATGCGTGTGGGAGTTCAATGAGTGGGTGAGCTGAGGATGAGATGTGAAGTGCCCAGAAATTATAAAGATTTTTGGAATGATATTTAGTTTATTTTCTTATTAGAAAGCATAAAGGAAAGACAATAATCCTAAGTAATCAGTGGTATCGAAGACCAAATCTATTATTAGAATTAAGATACTGATTCAGGAAGAATCAAATAATTATAATAATAATGGGTGGTAATGTTAGGTTAACAATACAGTCGCTAGGAGAAATTCCATAGATTCGATATAATATAGCCTTCTTATATATTTGGAACTGGGAAATTCTCACAGACAAGTTTGAGGCAAGGTTCAATACACAAAACTAAAACATAGATTCATAAACATTAATTCTTACTTCACATTTTATTTCATTTAAATAATTTTGAATTATGTTGATATTAAAAAACTATTAGACCTGAGAAAATTAAGGTTAACCATTGGAAAAAAAAACTATATATTTTATGCTACGTGCTCAACTTCGTTTTGTATAATTTATTTTATTTTTGTGGAATAAGCAAACAACTGACTTTGCTATGCAGTTAATTATATTTAAATAAATTCACATTTGAAGCTACTTAATTTAAAAATTTCAAATATAAAATTAATTTGTTTAATTGAATTTAAGGAAATTTACTGAATAATATTCTATATTTTCTATTTTCCCCGCCGACATAACCTCTCAACCTTAAAACTTTTCTGCCATGAGGTTTCCCCTTTCTCCTTTTCTCCCTTTCTCTCGTCGAGAAGCGGAGAAGCGGCGTAACGGAGCCGTGAATTGAAAGAGACGAATAGCGGTTAACCGTAATGCCACACTTTCTCCTCCCGGGAAGAATGTTTCAACGAATCCAATGGAGAACTTACCGATGGCGATCTCGCTCGGGATCGGGTGCGGGAACGGGAACTCGATCTCTACTTAAAGTTGAACAGCAGACCCTGGAAGTCCAGGCAAATGGCGTGCGAGAAATCCTGAACAAATTGGACGGCCTCGACGAGACAGACGTTCATAACAAAATTACGTATTTGTTGAAATCGTTCGACGAAAGGCATTTAGGTTGTGATCTGGGAATGCGCGGCTATATATATATATATATCAGTATATATCAGCGGGGTCGGGGAGGGAGGCAGGGGGGATTGCGTCAGAATTAGTATATGGAATGTCTGGCTTTTGGCTCCTGGTTGGCTTCCACTTTCAAGTGTGACTCGAAGGCAACTGAACGCGGCTCCAGCTTTCGATTTTCGATCTCGGGCGGATTTTGTCGATTTTCGCCGGCCGAAAAATCTAACTGTAGGCCATGGATGAATTCTGCACAGGAGAGAGTGTCCCGACCATTGTTGTTGCTGGGTCAATGAACCAAAAAACCCAACGCAAACTCTCTTTCTCATAAAACAAGAAAGGTTACTAACTTCGAAGTTTGTATGCTCTTTCTCAGAGTAGCTAAATTATATTTATTATATAATTAGGAATATTATTTTTTTTATTGTTCCCAATATATGTGTAATATAGAAGTCAGATATTCTTATGGCAGCTTAAATTATATAGGGGACCGATAGTGGCTCATATATGTGAGAATAGTCAGCAGAATATCTTTAAAGTTTCATTCAGATATGTCGAAAAATAAGAGACAAGTTTGTGAGGAACGGACAGTCGGACAGATAGACGGACATGGATAGATCGACTCGTCTGTTAATGCTGATCAAGAATATATATTTTATATTTTATATATATTACTGCGTTCCAAAACTTCTAATTTAAATGATAGTACCATTCAAGGGTATGAAAAGGGAAGAGAAAGCAAAACAAAGACGCTCAAGAGCAGCCAAGCAACATGTTGCTCGGCGGGGCGCAACATGTTGTGTGCCATTTACAGATGTTAGCGATGCTGTGCAATCTCGCTGTTAAGTTTTCATTCACTTTTGGCGCCAGAAAAAGTGGGTGGAGGAGAGGACGCTAGAAAAACCGACTTTTTTGCCGCCAAAAAACACGCCACTTACCGCAAATTTCGGATCGGATCGAGGCACACAAACACAAATGTAATTAACTTAAACACAATCAATTGTAAAATCAAATTTAACAAAAATAACACGCTCGTTTTCACGTAAAAAAAAAAATAATGGAGAATAAAGAAATTACATATCGCTTGTCGATTTTATTTCAAGCGCAATTAATTTTCCGTCAAATTGGTTAAATCAAAATTCGAATTGGGACTATTCGGCTGGCAGTCGATGTACTTTTTTCAATGCGGACCGAAAAAAATAACCACTACCGAAGGAGGCGAGTAACAGAGGGAAAAACACGTGTGTGGAAAACACAAAATTGAAATGTAAATGGGAGTTGTAAATGGGGAAATGCAATGGAAAACGAGTGAGAAGCGAAACTGAATCGTTGTCCGGAGTCAAGTATTGGTTGTTTTATATTATAGCATCGGATTCTTGTATTATTTCAGGTTCGGTGGCGGTGCCCGGCGTGTGCAGTTGTCGTCATTGAAGCGCGACTCAAGTCCAACTAAGTTTATCGCAGATTTTCGGTGGGTCCGTGTCCCAACTGACCTTCAGCTCCGAAAGCTCTCTCAGTCATAATGGAGGCGGTGCAGCGGGGGGCCACTTGATCCACTAGCAAAATGCGTAAACACAAAGCTCTCTGCGTGGCCGAATAACGGGACTCGGCTAGGAGCTTGTGGCTAACAGCCAGCTAACAGGGCGGAGCTTTCAAGGACTGCCGCCAGATGTCGCCTTGGTGAATGTCTGAACAGTGAGCTCGAAAAGTTTGTACTCTACAGTGAGACCAAACTAATGAAACCACATAAAAATCATAAATAATACAACAAAAAATGCAAAATGTACTTAGTATTTTTATTGTACACATTAAAGGTTTAAATTGAATTTTAAAAATCGTTCTATTGAATTTTAAGAAATCTACGAATATGCTAGAAAATTGTAAACATATATAACTTACCATATTAGTAATCTTTACAAAAATACATTAAAGTATTCATATACCTTGCAAAAAGGATTTACCTTTCTATAGTTTTAAGGAACATGTACTAAATGCATTCATATTTACCTTTTATTAAATATATTTCACAGATTTTATACTAGAATCATTAAAAAAATGAAGCACATTGAAAATAAAAACACCCCTTTAAATATTTATTATTGTTTATTTATGTGTAGTTCGCCTGCTTGTGGTTTAATCAAATGCCATACACACTGACTTTATATGCTGCGCTTTGATTTGAATTCACTTTTTACATTAATATTCACTGAAATCATTAAAACTAGTACATATATTCGTATGACATTGATTAGTTTTTCTCTGTATTTCCTTGCTGCGTTTTTTACATCACTGTTTACTTTTCTTGGGGACTTAATGCTATATTTTTTCCGGCTTTACACATTTTGGTTATTAACTGTTTGTGGATATGAATATTTTATATTCAATGCAAAATGCATCTGCATGCTTTTGATTTCCATTTTGGAGCTCCTATTTCTATATATTTTGGTTAATATGCATACATTAATTATTTTCGTTTATATATTTATCTATTCTGCAACATTCAAAGGAAAATCCGTTGACGATTTTTTCTATGTACATAAACCTAGATTTACATTTCTTGTATTTAAATTGTTTTGCTCTGAATGAAACCATATTGAAACTAAGGGATAAACCATGACTGCACTGTAATAATTTTTGATAATGTACGTAAATTAGGGAAGACAACTTTCACAACACGATTTGATTACAGAAATCTTGGCGCATGCATTTGAGTATTGTAATGCTTATATCTTTATTTGTTTGTTATTATTATTTCAACATTTACACACTTTTTATTTACATATATTGGTTTTTGTTTATAATATCATTTAACATTTATTGTACTACTGTTTAAAACAAATATCCGTAATCTAACCTTTTGTTCAATTTACATTTCTTTTCTTGGCATTACCAATTACCATTAATATTGATTTATTTTCAAAGCAAAGGAACTATTTACCGCTGGATTTTTGTTGGCCAAAAATGTTGAAATAATCGTTTGTTTCTTTCGAGTTTTAATATTGCCCCAATAGCATTTAAACCAAAATGTTCCTATTTTATTTGTTTCATCTATGAATTCATGTTTCTCTACAAAGCAGGAAGTGTTTTAAGAATTAATTTTGCTTTATGTCCACAACCGTAAAAAGTTCCTTTCTGTACAGTGGGTATTATTATTCCTTACTAGCTTATCTTTAGTTTCTTGTTTATTTACACATTAATTTGGCGATTAAAAATAACTGTTTTCTGTTCCGTTCCCTTGGCTCCTATGGCTCTGGCTCAGGCAAAGCCCACTTTACAATGCACTACGGTACCCGAAAGCTAAGCTCAAGTGCAGTCTAAAGTTCAGCTTGCTGTACACTGAGCGGAATTTCTGGTATATATGTGAGTGCTCAGAACATAAAGAGCATTTGGTATCGCAATCCAAGCGACTGTGTGGAGAGTACATATAATATATGCATATAATGTGTGTTTTCATTTTATGTGTTTGAATAAGCACAAGTATTTTCTTACCCTGTACGCAAATTCACAAACTAACTGTAAACATGTTACTCTTGCGTATTTATTTCTGCGATTATTAATGTTTTCTATTGATACCTTCAAGTACTTGGTTTATTGCGCGCAGTTTTCACGATTTACTGTAGCTTCGTATTAATGGAGAATTAAAAATGTATTAATTTAGGGGAAAAACTAGATAAAAAGATAAACTTAAATAAATAAACAAATGTATTTATCCGCTTTATTGTCAGGAATAATTTAAGTAATTGAAATATATAATTGAAAACTCAATATTTAAATTGAAAAAAAGAAAAAATTATATATTACATATTACTTTATTATTTATTGTTTCTGTTGACAATAAACAAATAATTAACCTTCACAAACATGAAGCTCGTTTCTTACTGAACCTTTTTTTATGTGCAATTTCAACGTACAGGGTATTTTTCATTTACATACAATTTTATATGGGTTGCACCATCAAGTTATACCTTCCTCAACCTTACATTAATTTATTTCCTGTTATTATTCATTGATTTCGCGCCGTCTCCGCCTTCAACTGTTAAATACTATATATCCCGACACTGCCCAGCTTGTGCGTAAGACTCGGGAGCGAGGGCAATCCGTACTCGCAATCGTATATATTAATTATACTTGGGGGGTGTGGCATGTGGAAGGGGGGCGGCGGCAAGCACCTTAAGCTACTTTCGCGAATGCATTTCATCATCAATTCGGCATCAGCACGCGCTCCAACGCGACTGCATCGCGTCCTGCCGCCGCCGTGGAGGAGTCATCAATAATCGCTGATCCTGCCAGCTGGCCACGCCCCCCGCAAGTGTCGTTGACAGGCGCTTAATGCCGCGCGCAGTAACATCAGCAGCAGCAGTAACATCAGCAGCAGCAGCAGTTGTAGTTGCCGATGCACTTGCAATATTCGCAGCATCGCTGCGATTTGAAGTTGCCATTGCCATGGCCATTTGACAATTATAAAAGCATTTGACGCTCGTTGCGGATGTTGCCGCTTTTGGAGCTGTCACATCCTCCGCATCCAGATCCACATTCGCATGGTTGCTGCTCCTGGCTCCTGGCAACTGTTGATGTTGCTGCCGCTGTACCTTGGCCCTTCCAGTTGCCGGCTTTGTGTATTGACAGTTGATAATTTGATGGGCCAGCAGCGTTGCCAGCAGGGCTGCCATCGTTGCCCCTCCTTCTAGGATCCACTGCCACGTCCCCTCGAACTGCCTGTTGATGGGGAGCTTTGTTAGCCAGAATTGCCAGAAGATTTCACGTGCAGCTGTCGAAGCGCCCGATGCACTATTATCCGCTGCAAGGAGACAGAGAGACAGGCGAGTGTGAGTGGGAGCAGAGTTTGCAGAGTTTGAGGGGAAAAAAAAGGGCGTAGAATGAACGATGCCGTTAATGGAGGCAACGAATTTTACGCCTTTGACACCTTTGTGCCGAGCTAACCCAATAAAAAGTGATTTCACATCCCCTCGAATGGTTTTTAAGGGCGGCCTAAAGAGGAGGTACAGCTTATTTGATGGAAAGTATCTGTAGACTAGACTTTTATAAAAGAAACTAGAATAAATATATTCTGAAAATGGTTTAAGTTTATGGTGATAAGTAAAAAGTTATCCTAGATTTCAAATCAAGATTGATCCCTCTAATATCGAGATTAGTTTGGATAGTTTATTTATTAAAAGTTTCCTTAAAAACAATATATATACTTTCAATACATTCATTCAACTATTTCCATCTCATAAAATACTCATCATAAGGATTTTGAAGTGCTTTCGCGGAACCACGGCAATCTTCGAGGGCGAAGAGCGGAAAGTACACAGCAAATCCAGCTTGCTTTCCAGCGAGATATTTAAAAATACAAGATATTCCTTAGCCAGACGGGTTCAGCTATGTGTGTATGTGTGTGTCAACATTGCATTTGCATAAAATTCTGGGCAAAGAATCGGAACATGCAATCTCCCCCATTCCATCTGTTTAACACTGATGGAGCAGCGAGGGTGGCTTGACAACTTCCGTTTCAGGATTCGCCTCGAGCTCTGCTGCCAAAATATTGTTGCACACTTTTATGAGATTCCCACCCCAGTAATCCAGCGAACTCGATTTTAAATACAATTTTCAGTTGAATGCGTTTACACACTTGTTATTCCTGGTGTTGTCGTTACTCGGTGTTAAGTAAATGTTGTCGCTGGTAAGTGGCAAAAGGGAATACCGCAAAGGGAACTTGGCCCGAACCGGCAAGGATACGGACTCGAGTTTTGCCAGCGGCTCCAATCATCGCTTCCGTCCTGCACAGTCTGCCGCCATTCCGCGACAATCTTTCATGTCTAAACTTAGTTTATACCAATTTGATTTCCCCGCCATTTGATTCGATAAGCCTGCTCCTGCCGCTGGTAGTTACAGGCCAGGCCAGGCAAGGCAGCCTGGAAGAATGTTTATGCTGCACAATTTTATTTACATAATTCACATTGTGTCCCCGACATCGGCAGGACGCAGGCACAGGCCATCCTTGTTGTTTGTTAAAGGCTCTGCCTGGGCTTAAATCGATGCGGAATGGCATCACTTAAATTTATCGGTGAGGCAGAAAGATGTATTTCATAGGGTTTTTATATGGATATAAACGGTTGCTTGCCAGCCTTTAAATTAATCCTTCTTATAAACTAGGACCTTTCCCTTAATATTGTGTGTCAATAGCAAAAATACTCACCCGAGTAGTAGGTCAAATAGGACTCGTTGTGATCCTCGTAGCCTCCACGTTCGCCATTCGGATTCTCCTCGAGGGGATAATTATTCATGTCATACGATCTGCCAGAGGCCATTATTCTGGGACGGTCCTCCTCAATGACGCTCTCCATTTCCTCCTTGAAGATGTCAAAGATATTGGCCGTGCACTTGAGCTGACAGAGCGAAACGGAAACATGGATACGAATTAGAATCGCCACTGCAAGTGCCAACTGGGGCGGGCAGCCAGCATATCCTTACCCTCATCTGGCTCTTGAGAAAATGTTGAGTAGTGACCATGAAATGTATGGCACTCGTAACCGACTCCAGGGTGCTGTTCTCCTGTCTCTCCGTCTGATACGTCTTTATGTGGTGCGGTGGAACCTACAACAACAGCAAGCGGAGGAATAATGTCAAGTGGGCAGCTCGAGCTAGCAACAAAATCAATTTGCAAATATTCATCAATAGGAACTATCCCTGCCTCCATCTAGTCGTGCAATCCTTTCGATCAAGTGGGCCGCAGTGTGAAAGCGAATAGTAACTAACCAAAGGCAAAAGCTGACACTTCTCCCCCGAAAAATAAAGGAGACCATGGCAGAGCGGTTCCGGCAAATTTATAACTTATGAATGATGAATAGATTTACGCTTGAGTGATTAACTAGAGCAGAGCGAGAGCAGGAGCAGAAGGCAGGAGCAGAGAGCATGGAGCAGGAGGCAGGAGCCAAAGGACATGGGTGAGCTGGAGGCCACTTTGTTTGCGGTGAGTTTATTTTGAAGTGCCCGGCAGATACCGTTGCCTGACCCACCCGACCTCGCACCACCCAATATCCAACCCGACCCCAAAACCACCACCTACTGACAGCACAAACTACGACGATGACGACGTCGACGACTACGACGACGTTGCTGCTGCTGCTGCTGCTGCTTCTGATGATGATGATGATGGTGGTGGTGGCTTCGGGGCGGTGGTGAGTGGTGCTCCTGCTGAAATGCGCTCGTTAGCTAAAAGATCAAGTGGCCGCACCCACCATGTGGTGTAGGCAACACTCAAGTGCTGTTTGTGTTAGTTTTCCTGCTTTATTTTCCCATGTTTATATATATTTATACACACACACACACATATGCATTTTTGCTGAATTGCTTGTTTTGATGGCGATTAAATCTGATACCGGGCTTGTCGCTTCTCAAACTGAATTTTACTTATTTTTAATTCTGATTAAATCTGCAAGTATTCTTTGGATTTCGCTCAAACATTTATTGATTCAATTGGCAATTGAGAGGGTTGGGTGAAATACAACAGAATGTGTATCCTTCGATAGCCACAAGCTTATACTGAAAAGATGCTTTGCTGTATCTAGTAATTTTTATTTTAAATGTTAAAGGAAATGTGCAAAATCGTTCCACTTTATCCATCTAATATATACATTTTTAATACAATACATATGTTATTCAGATTGCGGAGGGAAATGTCCAACATTTCAAACATAGTTTTTGATTTTTGTATAGCTTTTGTTGAAGGATTACGTAGTAATCTTAACAAATTCCTTAAAGCCATTTTATTTCCAATTTAATTATTGAATGGCTCTTTGATCTTTCTCTGAAACTTACAGACTTTCCCGGATCACTTGTGAAACTCTAAACATTTTTCCAAACATTAAACTCAGCCTTACAACTCGATATTTGTGCTGTAAAAACTCGCTTTCAGAGGCCGCGAATTTGAATTATGGCTGGAGGGGGCACGAGCACTGACATTGACAACACATTTACTATACTCCAGCTGTCTGGGGCAACAATAACGAAGGCACCAGCCAAAAGTCGGCGTAATGTCCTTGCCGGCCATAAAAACGCCAGGGAAAAACTAGCTGACAACCTAAACGTTTCTTGAAAAACCAAACGCAAAATGCCAGGACATGTCAGCCCAGCCATCCTCCAGACCCGCTTCCCTTCTGAGCCCACCTCACTCACCTGCCGCCTCTGACACCCCTGACACCTGTGCAATCATGCGGAGCGGCAGCAGGACTCCCTGTCCTGGCACCTGGCTGGCTGCAAACCGGCGACCTCCTGTTGGAGCCGACTGCTGTGGTTGCGGCCATAAAACATCCCGCCCAGCAAAGCGAAAGGCATAAAAACTGACGGCATTTCAAAAAATGAACATATCCGAAGAAAGGTGGCGGGGCGGGGCGTGGCGTGGGTCTAGGCACATATAAATGCCAAAGATGCGGCTGGAAAATGGAGGCATCGCGCACACAGGTGCCAAAAAGTATGCAACAGACGCGAAATGAAAAATCGCACACTAAACGCAAAAAATGGGAAAACCAATGCCCACGTTTCACCTGGTTTTATTTTCGCGGAACAAGTTGATTGATCAAATCGGAGGGGACCACTTTGGAGTTAACTATTTAACGAACTTTGTATGAAAAGGTGAAAAAAAATATGAGAATAAATATGATATTTTAGTTTTAGTTTCTTCTAAATAAGTATGTCCCACTTTCCAGCTAAAAACTAATGGTTTAAATAAGAAATACAAGTTCTAATCTTAATTTTAAAGTCCTCCGTAATACGCAATAAACTTGGCATTACCCAACAGTGTTTAGTCCCCCTCAAAGTGCATCATTCAAATGCGACGAAAGTGCTCACACACCAAGTTCCCTGGCCCTCTCGTTGCCAATGACTAATTGAAAAAGCGGCGGTGGAGGCCATCAATCGAAAGCGATCAAAGTTACCCACTTTCGATTGCCTGCCTGCTAATTGAAAGGCGGAGTGGGCGTGGCCAGCTGCAGGAAACAGTGGTAAACGAAACCAAAACTTACCACAATACCATTAATAGTCCATGTCAAATTAGCAGCCGGTTTCGAGTATTTAATTGAGCAATTGCCGTCCACCAAATCGCCGACGCGATAGCGTGCCTGTATCCCGGTGACCACAGTGTGCTCTTCCGGTAGCTCTGCAAAAAGAGGGGTAATTGTGAGCCAAGGAATGCAAATGTAAAATTGCCCAAAAAGGGCCACGCTCAAACAGAGTTGTTCTAATTAATTTGCTCGCCTCGACCGCAGGTTTTCCTTTTCCCCTTTTTCCATTGCACTTTTTCTTTAGGCTTTGCAATATTGCATAGCTCTAGCTATAGTTAGTGAGCCACAGTGGGGTATTGTTAATTGGCTCAGAAGTTTGGATCGTAAAGGAAAATGTCTTACTTTAAATATATTTAGGGAGTACCAAATATAGCGCTATGAAATTAAAAATCAGCTGAAATAAGTAATTTTAAATAATAATACTCGTCCGCCATTCATCCGTTTGCACGTCCGTTTTTGAGCATTAAGCTAAACTAATGCGGAAAGTCCGATTTTTTGCGGAAATTTTCCGGATCCATCCCCACTAAGTCCGCTTTTTGTCTGCTGGGATATTACATTTCTTAGGTAAAACTACAATATGAAAACTATTCACTATTAAAAATAAGAAAAAAGTAAAAACTATAGCCTCTTTTTTAACGATTTATTTTAGTCCCTGAGTCAAACGAGCCTTACTTTTTCAACTACAATAAATATTTACATATTTTCCTATTAAGAAAAAGGTGTATAGATTTCGGCTTGATCTAGGTAGTTTTCCCCATTTTCATTTTTTTTCACTTACCAACCACCTCCATTTCGCCGGACACCATGGCTGTTTGAAATGTGGGGGCCTCCACGGATATTTCGCATGTAAATTTTCCCGAAATATTCAACGGCACCGACTGCAGGACGACGTGGCTCTGATTCGAAAGGTTGCGCTGCAAAGAGGAGAAAGCGAGAAAGAGCGGCGGAGAAAGTCAGTGGGCGGGTTAAAGAAAGCGTGAAAGGAAATGAAGAACGTAATAAAAATTAGTTGGGCAAAATTGGCTGGACGCGGTGCATAGAAATTGAATATAACCGGGGTAAAAAGTGTAAAAAAAGACGAGAGAAACGAGAGGAGGGTGGTAAAAAATAAATAGAAAAATGTTGTCTTGGTTATGAATGACGAAAAGCACAGCTGCTGGAGGTGGAAGATAGCTCGCTGATGAAAAGTGACTGCAAATTGAGGGCATAAAGGTGAAGAGTTGACTTTAAAGTTGAAGGGGTCAGCCAACTGGCTTTGACTAAGATTTCTTTTGACGAAAACCGATTTGGTTTCAATGCGAATTACGAGCTTAATCTTAATTTTAAACTTGTTTATGGACTCTTAGGCCGCCTATAACCCGGAATTAAAAGTATTAGTCTGCTTGGTTCGGCTTTCAATGCTTTTTGCTGTTTTGAGAAACTATAATGCTTCGGTAGCATCTTGAAAATTTTAGGTACAAGTTATGAAATTATTTTATTTGGAACTTAAACATTTCTCAAATATATTTATATTATTTTTCACCGATTTTTAAATTACTTTAATGCTTCGCAGAGAAAATAAGGACAACCTCAAATGACAATTCACTTAATAAAAATCAAATTTAATAAATTGCATTTAATACTGGGTAAATATATGTGTAATAAATGCGGTGGATGGAGATGTGAGAGTAGTGGCCAGGGATCATTGGCTGAAGCTCTCGTTTGATTGTTTAACCCAATTTGTTGCTTCCGATACTTAATTGGCCCTTGTGTATTTCGTTGGAATAATTAAACGCAACTCTCCTGGGTATACCCTTTCTTGAAGTGCATTAAATGGAATGAACATTTGGATATACAAAAACATGAAGGTATACCTTATTGGCAGGTTTTCAAATTGAATATACCTAAGAATTTATAGCCTTACTGAATTAATAATTACAAAGAAATAGATAAATTACAAAAGAAACATGAGCTTAAAATATTCCATATTTATTTATATCGCATATATCTGTAGATACTTTTCAAAATTTAAAAGTACTGCCAAATATCGAGTGTATTTCCAGCGTCTCTCCGTGTCAACTGTCGTTGTTTTTCCCCTGGGACCTTATGCAATCTGTATATATTGTTTTTTAATGAGCCGCAAGTCAATCGCAAGCGCGACTAATTGGCCACGCCCAATAACTCTTAACGGATGCGTCGGCGGATGGACCGGCATAATTACAAAGGGGCAGTGGGGCGAATAAGCCGGCAAATGTCGTTATGAGGCAAATTCTGGCGGGGAGTGTGGCTGGCAATCAGCCATTATGGATATAATTTACACGCAACTGTAGTAACATGTGCGCATTATGGTGATAGGGGGATACGAGTACGAGGATATGGGTATATGGGGCATTATCATCCCGTACTCACCTCGACGTTGAGGCCACTTGTCATGGCAAAGACCTTCATCGCCGGATTCTCCTTGGGCGTGTAGCGATAAAACTCACGTTTGCCCTTATACCATTTCACCGAATATAGAGTATCGTTTTCCATATCGTAATTACACGTGAACAGGGCATTGCTACCACGTTTCACCGCCTGCGGTATCATTACGGAAACATCCTTGAGTGCCACAATAAAATCTGCAAATAAAATGAGTTTCAGGCTTCGTAAATATAAAGTGTTCTTTTAAAGATATATATATTTTAAGCGAGCATTTTGTGACTTTCGAAAGAGTTCAGATGAGAAATATAGCTATATATAGTTCTGTTTACGTTTAATTGTTTCAGTTTAATTTTGCTTTTCAACCATTTCCTACATTGACCTCAACTATGTAGAAGGGAAAGGTGAGTAAGGTGACCCGACCTTTTCACCTTCGATATCCCATTGGCATCCAGTTCGATGCTAACTACTAAGCCAACCGACCAACCCTTCCTTTGACAAGTGAGAGGGCAGCCGGCATGACCGCTGGTTTCCGTTGGATGTTTCATATGACAATACCGATGTTGCAAACAAAGTGCTTCCCAACTAGCCACCGATTTCTCTATTTGCGTTCTTTTTGTTTTTTTTTGTGTTTCCCCTACCCTGTCATTAGGCTGCTCGTTTGATGGGATCCGTGGGTAGTGACTAACTGGGAAAAAAATGTATTTCAAACCGGATTTAAGTTGGTAATGAAATATGTTCTAGCCTTTAACCTAACTCTTCCAAAAATTTCCAACAAGTTTTGTCTATATTACAGCAATAAGAATACAATAGCTTAAAATAAAAGTAACTAGTTAAGCAAGGTTTAAATGTTTACTAAACACTTTGGCTAAGCTTTAGTTTGTTGGTAATAATTTATAATAAATTTAAATAGTTATTCAGCTGCTTTCTTTAATTCATTTACAGGTACAACATACACACATTCCCATTTGTCTCACTGGGATTAGCAGTCGGCATTATTTGTTGTTTAACTTTTTGCAGTGCACATTGTTTTTTGTTTCTCTGGCTTTGGTTTGTTTTCCAGTTTCTGTTTCTGTTTCTGTTTCTATGGGTGCACACTGCTTTTGTTGCCCATATTGACCCATATAACGAGCGAGCATTTTGTTGTGCTCTCCCCCTACGGCCCCACTTGATGTGGCTGCATTTATCGCAGGGCGGGGATAAATTGTCCTTCAGCTGCACATTGTTGTTTAGCACTGGCCACCAGCCCCCCGGACCAAGTCCATTCCCGGATACCCGCCGCAAAGAACCACAGCTAGAGAAACAACTTTCCCCGGGGCATTTTATTTTGTTATAAAAAAACTTTTACAATCTACGTTTGTTAAGTATTTTAACTGCTTTCTCTAGGTGGACGACGGACCTGTGTGTGTGTGCTCCGTGCCAGGACAACTCTTCGTATCATTCACTCTCCGCCCCCACTGGGTTGCCGCCGGGCAAGGGCAAAGTTCTATGTCTGCTTTTCGGTGTTTATCTGTCAGTTTATGTTTACAAATGTCCACTTTTAATGGTTCACCATTTAACTGGAGAGACGCTAACCTGACCTCCACTAGGAGGGGGAAGTGCTCAGGAAGACAGAGACATGGCTTGCCATGCATATTGCTAACTTCCATTGTGTTCCCTTTGCATTTTATACCCGAACGTCAGCAGTACATGTATACGCACTTGCATTTTATTTGCATGATTTTGATAAGCTATTTTCCATATTCTTTAAAAATTCTTTAAATACAATTTTAAATTTGAATAAAATAATATACAAACCCCAAGGGGCTTACGACAGCTTATTGCAAACACACTTTAATATTTATGCACATTCTGGTTGGCTGGAATTTGTATTGATTTTACACTCGGCTGAGTCGCTGACCGCGACTTTAGTGTACATAATTTGCAATAAAACTTTACAGACAGAATGCATTTAATTTGGACACATTAAGTTATATTAAAAGCTGATCAAAAGTTAAGCAGCAAAACAAAGTGCCAAACAGTGAAGACAAACAAAGGGAAGGGAAATGGCTGCCAAAATAAGGTCTCCTCTAAGTTGCCCTGTAAGTGCTTCTCACACTTAGGCGAAGCCCCCAAAAATGTATTATTCTACATACCAATATACATATATATATTTATTTTCCCAGAGAACTGAGCAGAAGCAGACTCAAAGCAGACTCCAGACCGAGACGCGACCACAGGACTCGGCCGAAAAATAAAAAGAGAAACACAACGGCAGAGCGGCAACCAACCGATGACGATGACGACGCTGGGAATTGTAACTGACATGGCTGTCAACACTGTAGCCAGGACTCGGCCATCAGCCATCAGACCTCGTCCCGCCCGCCCCACTTTGCAGTCATTTCAACTTTGGAATTTCAATAAGAGCCCCAGCCTCGGCGAGTGGAAATGCCGCAGGTGGTAGGCACAGGAAGACATGGGTCCGGGAAGGGACTCGGGACTGGTATGTTGAGCTGCCGAAACCAAGTTGCCGGCTGGCGCAAAGAAAGGCAAATAAACCAAAAGTAAATACATAAATTAAAAGTGTAAAGGCGAAAAATGTTTAATTCGCGAATGGCTGCCATGGGACGTACTCAAATGGAATGGATTGGCTGCAGGATTGAAAGGGAAGGTGAGTCCTGTAATAGACCAACGACGTGCGTTATTTATTTAAAAGGCGAACATTTATCTACTGAAATACATTTTAATCTCACAGATATCTGAATGAAATGGATTTTAACTTGTTCAATCAGCAAAGAGAAACAGGTAAATGGTTAATAAAATGTTAATAACAAATTGAGAGTTTTTCATATAAATCTAGGAGATAGTTAGTTGTTTTAAAGTTACTTAAGAAAGTTATTCTACAGTTTATAATATAATAATATAATTATTGCACATTTAAAGGACAAATTCGATACAAAAACACCTAAAATATTCCTCTTGCAACTTCTGTCTGCAATGCTAGCCTTCTCTTCATATTGGTTCACTTTTTAAACGAAGCCAAAAGGGTTATTTTTCCACACATTTCCCAGAGACCCTTCCCTCTCATACATTGTAAATACATATATAGATATATATAGTCCATATTTTTGCCACACTCCACCCCATTCTCTGTGTTATTTCCCATTTCGGTTTATTTTTCAAACAATTTTTTATCATCAGCTGTCAATAGTTCAGGCAGCTGACCCACCCAAGGGGAGCAGCCAAAAGGACAGATATAGAGCGGGACGGGTGGGGTTGGGGTTGGGGTTGGGGTGGGCGAAATCATTACAAAAAAAAATGTTTTATGCTTCGCTATTGCAACTTTGACCGGGCGGCACGGTGGCGTATGAGCGATGCAACAACTGCGGCGAAAAGGGTGAAATTATTTGTGTTTTGTTGGGTAACATGCTCCCTGGCTTTGGAAGTAGTCCAAACTTGGGCACGTATAAACACATTTTTGATGCTGACTTGCTTTGGCTCGCTTTTATTGTTTGTGTTTTCATTGCAAGCAATAAAAACTAAAAAATCGCCAAATAGAAATAAACGCATTTTTATATATGTATCTGTGTATTTATGAACCCCATAAATATGTCAAATAAATTACAAAACAGTCAAAATATTGTGCCATGTTTGTTATGTGCCAATGTATGTTTGTATGTGTTTATGTAAGGGTGTTTTATTTTGTATCCTTTCTTAGGCATAAATATATTTCAGGACCAAGGGAAATATGTTTAAATTTATATACATAAATGGGTAAGAATTTGCGAAAATCGTTGGCACTATTTGCTTGATTTTGTTTTTTTAATCTTTGTTTTTGAAAATGTTAAGGAAAGAGTTTTCTATCCTCTCTTGAAAGACTGAAAAATAACAAAATTTTTAGAATTTTACAAGTTTTTTTAAGCCAAAATTCGGCAAAGAGCTTACAATATACAAAATACTATGAGATAAATATTTCTACGAACACCTAAAATCTGTAAGCTCTTTAAATCCTTACTGAAAGTGTCGCATTGATAATAACTTTAATTTAAGGCTTACTTATGGATTTTTTTCAACAATTTCCCTTCAATTTTCCATATAAATTGTTTAATTTAACCAACATTGGATAATTTGATAGACCAAAATTTGGGGAAAGCCAAAAACAAAAACCTCTGGCTCCCGAAACTGTCCGCTAATTTCGGTTTCTGTTCTTTTGCTGGTTTTCTGATTCGGTTTTCGGGTTGTGTTTTGTTTTCAGAGTGTCATAAAATTTTGCCGCAAGCTTTGGCCCCCTGTTGCCGCAGCAACAACAGCAAATACAAAGAGCGGGACAGAGCCCGGCCCGCAGACAATTTCATTAGAACAGAAGTTTTGAAAACATTACTCACATTACGAGATACTCAATGGCAGCTAAAAGAGGGGGGAAAAAGCACAGCAATGAGGGTAACCAAAAACAGCGAAAAAAAATAAACAAAAAATACAAAAAGAACACAAATGAAAACCAAAAACAGAGTTTCGCAGTTTCCTGCATTTACCAAAATGTTTGTCACTGCAATGCACACACACACATATGCACACACTCGCACACTCTCCCAGCAAATGACACTTTGTGCTGCTTTCGCCCAAGGGGGGAGTATGTGCTGTGCAGGAGGGGTTGGTTAGGGGGCAGCCGGTCATTTGGGCGCTCTATGTGCTGGGGCTATTAAATAAACATGCAAATTATTGCGCAATTTTTGATTACGATTTTTCAACACAACCGCCAGCCACAAGGGCAACAACAACAATGCCAACAACGCAGCGCTGTCCTGCATATTTTTGTATGTAAATCGAGACGCCAGCCGATACACCAGGCCCCCCTAGACCCCCAACCCTCATGGCACCCGCTGTATCATCGCCAAACGCCCTGCAATCTTTGCATGCATTCAACACTCAACGCCTATTTTGCATACAAATTTTATTATTATTATATTGAATCGGAGCCGCGACAATGGCCGCTTCGCTTTTTGTGTGTCCTGTTTGGTTTTTCGCCATTCAGGTTTACCCGCTTCTTTTTTTTTTTGGGAATTATGTTAAATGAAAATCTGTGCAATTTTTCGCATGACACTTGTTCGTTGTCATGTTTTTTGTGGCATGGGTAATCACTGAAAAATATATATATGAAAAGGCCTAGCCGATGTGCAAGGGATCAATTATTTAGGTTTAGTTTAAGCTCTAAAAAAAAATT